AAGTACACGGCACTTGAGCAAATATTTATTAGAATTTAGAAATGCATGCGAGGGCCAGTCTATGGAGAGACTGAAATTCTTGCTGACTTGAATTTTTGTAGTTATTTCAGAGGTTCAGTAAAATAGAAGTTTAATCTGAAGGTTCATCAACTTGATGCCAACTCTGTTGTAAACCACTTCTTATCAGCTTCCTTTGCATATCCATCTTGATTCCTATGCCAACTAAAGTGAGCATGAGTTCGATTCTTGATGTCAAAAATGCCATGGCCGAAACTGGGTTCACGAAAAGCTGAGTAATCCGCTGTGGCTCTATCATGCTGCACCATAAAAAACACACGTATGTTAACTAATATATATATATATAAATGCTACAAGTGCTTATTTATTAATCTGCCATCGATCTTCTCCTTATCTATGCCTTCCTGATTGCCTCCATCACCAATGGTTATGTAAACAGTGCAGATTGATTCTTTACAGAGTGCAATCACCATTTGTAATTCTGTATGCAGTGTTGGATACACGCTCCTGTGATTTAGTAAAGATTGTCAAGTTAAGAGCAAAATTAATACAGAAATCTATTATATATGTATTTGTGGGAGAAGAAGACACTTACAGATCGTTCATAGGCATGGGCGGACCTGAAAATACTACATCAACTTTGTGGTTCACAAACCAAGACTCATAAACTACTCTCATGGTTTCTCCTTCCATGTAAGTTTCACGTAGCTATTATAAAATGGAACTGCATAAAAACAATCAACCTGGTGTCTCGCTTCTGTTAACCTTTTCTAGCTCAGCTTTCAGCCAATAGTACTGGGGAGTGGATCTACCTAGAGAAATTGAAAACAAAGATCTGTGAGTACAGAAAATTGTATGGAAGAGTAAATACAGTTCGATCATGGCAAGTTTCTTACCAACTGCTGAGTATGAAGACAAGACTATGATGATGCTGAAGCTCTCTTTATCGAGACCAAAGGGGAGTAGTACTTCCTGATGCTTTAAAGGGACATATAACGGTGAGTGAAGCTTAAAAGGAATTGTTTCGCCCTGTACGAAGAAATATACAAAATTTTCTGCTGTAATTTCTTTTTCCAGTATCTCTTTCAGAGCTAGCAAAAAATATAAAGAGATCGATGCTTACAATAGCTTGGTTAAAGTCAATATCGTGATTCCCTACTGTAAATACCACATGGTTGATAAGCAGCATTTCTCTCAACAAACCTGCCCCATGTATCCCATCTATTATGTCGAATATGGATACTTATCAGCATAAGAGAGATCTCCAACATACACACAGTTTTGCATTATGTGGATTATTCTCATAATGAGTAAGTGTGCTATTTGAAGCAGAAGTCTGACCAAGATCCCCTGCAAACCATCCCCAATTATAGTTTGAACAATGCACATTCATTAGAAAGAATATATATATGTCTTATGCATAATTCTAGGTCAACAACCCAATCTCACACTCTTTCTCATAACCCTCGACCCAAGTTCACAACTAGTCAACTCCAAATGGACAGATAGCTCTAGCAACGACAAGACCCATTTGTGAGCTATTACACGGAAATTGTAAGAGAAGGTTGTAGATTGGGTTATGGATCTAGCAATTTCATATCTAGTAAGGCTAAGTCCGCAACCCAATCTCACAACCCTCGACCTAACAGTTTCGCAATTGATCAGTTCACAATAGAAGATGTGGCCTATAGCAGCAACATGACTCATTTGCGAGCTAACTAATTGAAGCTGTCACTCAGGAATTGTGAAAAGGTTGTGAGATTGTTTTGTGGACCTAGCATTACTCTATGCATTAATGCTAGGTTCACAACCTTCTCTCAATACCCACGACCTGACATTCGCAATTGGTCAACTCACAAATGATAGGTGGAGCCCATAACAAGCAGGCATGACCCATTTGAGATTGGGTTGTGGACCTATCATTACTCGTATCTTCTGGTTTCAACTAGCTACTTTTTGCTTACCAATGGACCAATGTATAAGGGACATCACGGCCACTTTAGGAGGAGTTATAAACCAAACTTCCTTGCAACTTTTCCACTTCCAACCACTAGTGTATTGGTGTCGAACTGCCCACGAAAGTCACACAAATTAACAAGAGAAAAACTTGAGATTTAACCAAAGCTCACAAGTAAAACTCAGTATGGGTGGGGGGGGGGGGGGGGGGGGGGGGGGTGTTGGTGTGTTAGTATATAAAAAAGCACGTTCCTGTAATTTAGTAAAGGAGTTGTCAAGCAGAATATGCAGAAAACGTTGTAGCTATTATAAAATGAAGCATGCATAATAACAATCAACAATGGCGTCTCAGCTTCTGTTAACTTTTGGTAACTCCTGTTTCAGCCACATATACTGAGGAGTGTATATACCTATAAAGAGAAATAGATAAGAGATATATATGTATTAGAGAAAAAGGTTGAACAAGTAAATCACATAATTTAAAGAGTAGGGAATCATCAATAAAAATGTTAAATAATACTGTTGATATTCTATAAGTTAGTGGAAATACAGTAATACTATATGACAAATCTTTCTCACTAACTTTCTCTAAAAAACGTGATGTGCCAGCTCTCAATGAGTCCCGCCTGTCAAACAATGAGTCTCGTCTGACCAAATGCGAACTAACTAATTATAAACTATTACGTCGCGTTTGTGAGAAAAAGTTGTGAGAAGTGTTTGCCAACATATCTTTATTCATAAGAAAATATGGTAAGAAAAAAGTTTGAAGTCAATCTCATCTCAAATTCTATGTCAGGTTGAGTTGATCTGAGTGCTTGACCAACGGGTGAATCAACAATCATAACTCAACATATGAGTTTGACCGTGAGAGAAAGTGTTTGAGTCTCACACTGACTAGGCACGCTCAAACCTACTAGTTTATAAGAAAGGGTAACCATTTGGTTTTATTGGATCAAATTCTATCAAAACTCAATTAACAAATTAAAAACATAAACTACGGTTATTAAATAGCAAAAGAAAACCCGCCTCCAAATTTGAGATGTTGCAGAGATGGATGTAACCAGAAGTGTAATTGTAGAATTTATAGGTCAAGACTACGCCCGTAGCCGTCTGATTTTCCTTGCTATTTTCTCTCCAATAAACCACTTGGTTAGAACCTGGTTTGTCCGGAGTCACCCATGACACTATCACAGCACTGCCTTCATGATCCCCTTGTGTTATATGAACCTAAATTTGGACCAAACTCACGTCAAAATTTATTTAAATATTCAAACAGTAAAATGAAATAACGAAGTAGTACCTGTTGAGGAGCATTACTGCCAGGAGGGACTTGAAAGACATCTCTATCAAGAGGCATATCAACAGTCTCCTCAAGTTTCCTGACAAAACTGCTAGTTTTACCTCCATCACACAACACTGCCACGTTCAAAACCAAACACAATAATATAACTAAACAAGAAGACGAAGAAGAAGATCCAAGCACACCCATTTTTTCTTGTGGCCTGAATACAACGTTCATATATATATATATATATATATAACATTTGGACGTATAATATTTTATTATAAGAGTATATTATATTAATAAAAAGAAATATCATCTCGAAGATTACTGGTATTGTTTAGAAAATTAAATATGTTTGATTGGTTCAAATAAATTAATGAACAATATGTTTGGTTGGGAGGATGAATGGGTGGGTATGTTATATAGATTACTAAATTGTTCTCCTTTTTAAATATTAATATAATAAGATTTTTTATTATTATTTTTTGAATTATTTCTTTTAACCTCCTATACTTGAAATTTTACTAAAACACTCCAATCATATAAAACTTTAATTTATAGCAAAATCACCCCCACCCACTTCAAGCCACTGCCAACAGCCAGCCACCACCGCTGATCGCCACTGGCAGTCGACGAAATGATGCACAACTGGTCGTATGTGATCGGTTGTACTTCAGCAAAGCTGAAAATGGCCATGGATCACAAATCCATGGCCGGAAAATGACCAAATTTATGACCATTTCACGACTAAAGATATGGCCGTGAGCACGGCCATAAAAACGCCAGATCTGTGGCTATTACCATCTGCCACCGTTTTGTCAAAAATCATATTTTTTAAAATAAAAATATTACTTTTCATTTTGTCAACTATCATATTTTTTTTTAACTATAATATCGATATCACTTCTAAATCTTTCTCCAATCTAGTTGGAAACTAATGCCATCCTTTTCATGTTATTTCTGTGAGTTCTAGAAGTAACATCTTATCCCCGGTAATGTTATTGAAGCTCAGTTCAGTCATCCATTTTAGAACATGGTTAAAGGTCAGGGAGGATTATTATTTACTGTTTAGGATGTTGGGATACGTGGATCGTTTTCCTAATAATTTTCTATGTAAAATTATATGTCTTTAGAAAAACTATTTAATAATAAATACAATTGTAAATATGCATAAAATATTACGAGAATGTAAGAAAACATGATATATTTGATGTAAGAGTTATTGGTAATCCGTTGAGCGTAGTTAGAAACTATGATTATTTCCACGAGTTGTGTACTCTTATATATCATATATATTTATGAAATTAATTATAACGAATTTCTCTAATCTGTAAATGTAAGCGGATTATGCCGAACTACGTAAATACTGTGTCTTTTTTGTGTATTGTGATTTTATTTCTATGTTATATGATTTAGATAAGGAATGGTACATTGTGATGCTTTGTAAGGAACATGATAACAAAGAGTGTTCGATCCTTACAATCTCTATGCAAAAGCCAAGTTTTAGGATTCTCAATTATCCATATCCATGAATTTGTTTGGCTGTAAATGAGGAGTTGAGGTGTTAAGTGATATAAATGTAAACACCATAAGAGACTATATGACCCCAGTGGTATTTTTAGTTATAATAATATTAGATAACACAAAGTTTTCAGTTAAAAATATTGACCAATAAATCAAATGAATTAAAAGATGTTGAAATTAATGATGTCTATCAAGGATTTAATATCTCCATAGATTCATAGATTTTGAATACAAAACACACAAAAGTTTGAAGGGAAATTACCTCCAAGTGGTTTGACGGTTCGTTTGAGACTCTTGAGTATACTACTCAAGAGGTTTTGAGTTCGAATCCTCACGACTATTAATAAGGGTAGCTACTAGAGGCTTACTTGACTGTTAACGTCAGGTCCCAGGGGACTCGTTGAGGTGTGGGTAAGCTAACCCAGACACCCCGAATACCAAAAAAAAAAAAAAAAAGTTCGAAGGGGAACTAGCTTAAATCCCTTAATTCTAGGAACACAAGGATGCCATTTATTAGAGGTAAAAAGAAAAGAACATAAGATTGATACATAGAATTTTGTTGAATGTCTGAATAAGTACACGACACTTGAGCAAATAGTAATTAGAATTTAGAAATGCATGCAGAGGGCCAGTCTATGGAGATGACTGAAATTCTTGCTGACTTGAATTTTTGTAGTTATTTCAGAGAGTTCAGTAAAATAAAGTTTAATCTGAAGGTTCATCAACTTGATGCCAAACTCTGTTGTAAAACCACTTCTTATCAGCTTCCTTTGCATATCCATCTTGATTCCTATGCCAACTAAAGTGAGCATGAGTTCGATTCTTGATGTCAAAAATGCCATGGCCGAAACTGGGTTCACGAAAAGCTGAGTAATCCGGCTGTGGCTCTATCATGCTGCACAATAAAAAACACACGTTATGTTTAACTAATATATATATATATATAAATGCTACGAAGTGCTTATTTATTAATCTGCCATCGATCTTACTCCTTATCTATGCCTTCCTGATTGCCTCCATCACCAATGGTTATGTAAACAGGTGCAGATTGATTCTTTACAGGAGTGCAATCACCATTTGTAATTCTGTATGCAGTGTTGGATACACGCTCCTGTGATTTAGTAAAGATTGTCAAGTTAAGAGCAAAATTAATAAACAGAAATCTATTATATATGTATGTGTGGGAGAAGAAGAGCACTTACAGATCGTTCATAGGCATGGGCGTGACCTGAAAATACTACATCAACTTTGTGGTTCACAAACCAAGACTCATAAACTACTCTCATGGTTTCTCCTTCCATGTAATGTTTCACGTAGCTATTATAAAATGGAACATGCATAAAAACAATCAACCATGGTGTCTCGCTTCTGTTAACCTTTTCTAGCTCAGCTTTCAGCCAATAGTACTGAGGAGTGGATCTACCTAGAGAAATTGAAAACAAAGATCTGGTGAGTACAGAAAATTGTATGGAAGAAGTAAATACAATTCGATCATGGCAAGTTTCTTACCAACTGCTGAGTATGAAGACAAGACTATGATGTATGCTGAAGCTCTCTTTATCGAGTACCAAAGGGGAGTAGTACTTCCTGATGCTTTAAAAGGGACATGATAACGGTGAGTATAAGGCTTAAAAGGAGTTGTTTCGCCCTGTACGAAGAAATATACAAAATTTTCTGCTGTTAATTTCTTTTTCCAGTATCTCTTTCAGAGCTAGCAGAAAAATATAAAGAGATCGATGCTTACAATAGCTTGGTTAAAGTCAATATCGTGATTCCCTACTGTAAATAACCATGGTTGATAAGCAGCATTTCTCTCAACAAACCTGCCCCATGTATCCCATCTATTATTGTCGTAATATGGATACTTATCAGCATAAGAGAGATCTCCAACATACAACACAGTTTTGCCATTATGTGGATTATTCTCATAATGAGTAAGTGTGCTATTTGAAGCAGAAGTCTGACCAAGATCCCCTGCAAACCATCCCCAATTATAGTTATGAGACAATGCACCATTCATATAGAAGAATATATATATGTCTTATGCAATAATTCTAGGTCAACAACCCAATCTCACACTCTTTTCTCATAACCCTCGACCCAAAAGTTCACAACTAGTCAACTCTCAAATGGACAGATGAGGCTCATAGCAAGCAGACAAGACCCATTTGTGAGCTATTACATCGGAAATTGTAAGAGAAGGTTGTGAGATTGGGTTATGGATCTAGCAATATTCATATCTAGTAAGGCTAGATCCGCAACCCAATCTCACAACCCTCGACCTAACAGTTCGCAATTGATCAGTTCGCAAATAGAAAGATGTGGCCTATAGCAAGCAGACATGACTCATTTGCGAGCTAACTAATTGCAAGCTGTCACGTCAGGAATTGTAAGAAAAGGTTGTGAGATTGGGTTGTGGACCTAGCATTACTCATATGCAGTAATGCTAGGTTCACAACCTTCTCTCAATACCCACGACCTGACAATTCGCAATTGGTCAACTCACAAATGGATAGGTGGAGCCCATAACAAGCAGGCATGACCCATTTGAGATTGGGTTGTGGACCTATCATTACTCGTATCTTCTGGTTTCAACTAGCTACTTTTTGCTTACCAATGAGACCAAATGTATAAGGGACATCACGGCCAACTTTAGGAGGAGTTATAAACCAGAACTTCCTTGCAACTTTTCCACTTCCAACCACATAGTAGTATTTGGTGTCGAACTGCCCACGAAAGTCACACAAATTAACAAGAGAAAAACTTAAGATTTAACCAAAGCTCACAAGTAAACTCAGTATGGGGGGGTTAATATATAAAAATAGGAAAATTCACCTCCAAATTTGAGATGTTGCAGTGATGAATGTAACCAGAAGTGTAATTGTAGTATTTATAGGTCAAGACTATGCCCTTAGCCGTCTTCTTTTTATTGCTATTTTCACTCCAGTAAACCACTTGGTTAGAACCTGGTTTGCTCGGAGTTATCCATGACACTATCACAGCACTCCCCTCATGATCTCCTTGCGTTATATGAACCTATATTTGGGACAATTTCACGTCAAATCTTATTACAGATTCAAACAGTAAAATCATATAATGAAAGCGTGAAGATATATATGTATAAAGAAGAAGTACCTGCTGAGGAGCATTGTAGCCAGGAGGGACTTTAAAGACATCGCTATCAAGAGCCATATCCTCAATCTCCTCAAGTTTCCTGATATATCTGCTAGTTGAACCTCCATTACACAACACTGCAATGTTCAAAACCAAGCACAAAAATACAACTACAGAAGAAGAAGAAGAAGAAGATCCAAGCACACCCATTTTCTTGCTTGCCTTGAGCACAGCCTACGACCTCAACCGCATGCATATATATAGTAATATTCTGCATCTATATGTGAGATGTAATATAATATATTTCTCTTTTCTTCACATGTTTATATATTTGTGAGATGAGATATATGTACAACTCGTCGATATAATAAAAAAATGAGTTTACACTTACTACCTAATCTTAAAAACTTTCTCTTCCTATTTCGACGTAGTAGCTTGTAATTGGTCAAATCATAAATAGGTCTCGTTTGGTTATGAGAGAAAGTTTGTAAGATTGGATTGTAAGCTAATCTTTATCCTCTTATTAAAGGTACAATCGAGCTCAGCAACAAGATGTTTGTATCCACAAGGTCTCTAAGGTTTCCATCCCCTATTTAGTAATTATATAGTCGAAACCATTATCTCTCACATATCCATAAATAATTTAGATAGTTATAATAAATTAAAGATCTTGTAGATAGACGTACAGTTTCATGTTCAATTTTCCAGTTGAGTGTTCCACCAGCGTATTTTTTTAAGTTATTATGTGATTTGTGAGCCGAAAATCCGGTAAATCACATGCTTAATATTGTGTCTATATTTAACACGTGAGGATATCATTTATTTTATTGAAATCGAGATCATTAATTAAAGCAATCCCATGTGAGAAAATATTACTTCTAAATCCCCTTTAATTAAGTGAAAATAAAATTATCATTTTCGTGTGTGAAACCCGAGTTCTATTATTTTATTCTACTGTTTATCATATTATTATTTTCGTGTGTGAAACGCGAGTTCTATTATATTATGTTATTATATTGTTTATCATTTTGAGTGATGAGATTATCGTGGAGTGAAAACGAATATGAAATTAATTAATTTTATACATCGTAATAGATATTATAAATTTATCTAATGTGTCACGTTATTTAGTATTATCAATATTATTTGCAAATCACTACCGGGATGGTTTGATGATCATAAAAAAACAAATGAGGTTTTAATATGGTTTCTCAAGTTCGATTCTCTTTAATGGTAAAAGAACAAGAAAAATGTTTAATATAGTCACTCTAGTTTAAGTCTCCACGACCCCTAATAGAATAGTCATTAAAGCTCTTATCGGACCGATAGTTTCAAGATCCTGAAAGATTAATTAAGATACTCGTAAACTCACTCGGGAGGATTGATTAAAAAAAATATCATTTATAAATTATTTATGTTTACATGTTGATGTAATATAAAAAGACATCATTTGAAATAAATAAATAAATAAAACTCAAGATAATACTTAAAAGTCTGACATTATCTTGCAGTTTGGATTAAGATCTATTGATACAAGAGAACATTTTAATTGGTTTGTGGAATAATTAATTAGGGGAGTATTCTAAATTTATATAAATACTGAGAGAGAATATTAAAGAGGCCAGCCATTGTATTGAAGTTTGGACCAAGATGCACAATGAGTTTACCAAAAAAGAGAGCCAGGTAACTGGACCAGACTCACCGGGCACTCCATGGCCCATGACGCAAAAAAAAGGCTAAAAAACTGCATATTTTTGCGTTAACCAATTACGAGTTATCACGTCGCGTTAGTAAGAAAAGTTTATCAGTCTATCTTTATTTGTTAAAGTTATTTAACCAATAGGTAATACTACACTGACAAACAAATCTCACACACTTTCTCTTACAAATCCAACGTGGCACTGAGTTGGCTTTACCAAATCAACTCACGACTTTGACTAGATATGAACAGTCGTTCCTTAAGAATGAATGGTTGTTCATCGTATAAGGAATGCTCATTCCATGAGAAGCGAATGACAGTCCTACAGGAAGGATATGACTTTGACTAAACATGAACGGGCGTTCCTTAAGGATGAACAATCATTTATCGTATAAGGAACGACCATTCCATGAGGAAGGAATGGCCGTTCCGTAGGGATGATGGCCATTCCATGATAGAATGGTCGTTCCTCTAGGTGGAATGGTCATTCCTTCCTACGGAATGGCCGTTCCTTGGAGATGGAATGGTTATTCCTCATCCAAGGAATGGTCGTTCCATCCAAGGAATGGTTGTTCCATCCTAGAAACGACCATTCCTCCATTCATAATAGTCGTTCCCTATGAAGGAATGGTCGTTTCTTAGTTCTTTGAAATCATTCTGAGACAGTTCTGGTGGGGGCTGCCAACTCAGATGCCACGTGAGATTTGTAAGAAAAAGTTCGTAAGATATGTTTGTCAGCCTCAAATATGCACAAATTACAGATCGTTCAACAAAGCACTGTATTGCACAGCACTGGCACATTCAAAAACTAAACACAAAACAGCATCAAAACCTGCAAACAAGAACCAAGGCCTTCTTGAGCTTAATCGTTTTCACTTCATGAAATACAAAAGAGTATTCAGAATAAACAGATTGGTTGTCAACCATGGACATGTCTTTCTCAAGAAAGATTATCATGATGTAGAAACTTTGTACATTTGTTGACTCCAAATTCATGGAAATGCTGTCATGAATAATTGAACACTAAATGGAGTTTTGTGATCTTGGGTTGTTTATTAAGTCCTCAGTGCTATGTATTTTTGTTTCATCTTATATTAGTCTTGTGATAATTGAAGTGTATGTTCCAAAAGATGTCTTGATCGCATTCATTTCCCTAATCACATGTTTTGAATACAGAACACACAGAAGTTTGAAGGAAGCTAGCTTAAAACCAACCCATTAATTCCAGGAATTTCTGTAAATTTCTGAGAGCAGAGGCAAAACAATGATGTGTTTCAAGTCTATAGAGATAATTGAAATTATTTACTCACTGGGATTTTTGTTTTTATTCCAGAGAGTTCAGTAAAATAAAGTTTATGCGGGAGAGTCATCAACTTGATGCCAATATCTGTTGAAAAACCACATCTTATCGGCTTCCACTGCATATCCATCTTGATTCCGGTGCCAACTATAGTAAGCATGAGTTCGATTCTTGATGTCAAAAATGGCATGGCCGAAACTGGCTTCACGATAAGCTGAGTATGCCGGCTGCGGCTCTGTCATGCTACACCACAGAAAAAAAAAAAAAGGCCATGATATTTTAACTATATGCCAACAAATGGAAAACACATCACACAATAGAGGACTCATTCTGTGTATAATATGATCTTACTTGGTTGCTAAGCCTTCAAGATTGCCACCATCACCGATGGTTATGTATACAGGGGCAGATTGATCCTTTACAGGAGTGCAAATACCGTTTATGACAGTGTATGCAATGTTAGATACACGTTCCTGTAGTTTAAGGAAACAAGTTAAAGGAAACTGGATAACACCATATACAATATTAATACTTTCAGACATTAATATTAATAAGTTATAGAAGGAGCACTCACAGATCGCTCATAGGCATGGACGTGACCGGCAAATACTACATCAACTTTGTACTGCACAAACCAAGGCTCAAACATTACCCTCATGGTTTCTCCTTCCATGTAATGATAGTTGTAACTATTATACCACGGCGAATGCAAAAGAACAATTAACCATGGTGTCTCGCTTCTGTTAACTTTTGGTAGCTCATCTTCTAGCCATTTATACTGAGGAGTGTATTTACCTAGAGAAAAATGAAAAAAACGATAGTCGGTTAAGTGGAAGAAGTAAACCACATAATTTTCCAGAGTTAGAGCTCATTAGATGAAATGGATACAAAATCAAGTCTAGAAGTCAGAGACACACAGAAAATCTAGCAAAGGATGCACACACACATCCCTACGAGTTAAAAATTACCAACTGTGCAAACAGCCCTCTTAACTCCACAAACTCACCCAAGGTGACAGGAGAATATAGGTTTCTTATTTGATTTAATGATCATATGAATTGTTTCTCATAAATTTGATTAGCATGTGTTAAGATCCCACATTGGAAGGGAAAGGGGTGGGCACCCTCTCGTGGCAAGACGGTTTCCCAATAAGAGTTACCCAAGCCCATGAAAGACCCATGGCCCAACCCAATTGTTCGAGTTATTGGAGTAGGTTCCTATCAATTAGTATCAGAGCATGATCCTGAACCTATATGGCAGCGCAAGCATGGCAAGTTGACCTTGGGCCCGGGTTGCTATCCGAGAAAGGGTATGGAGGCCCGAGGGAAAGGGAATGGGGACCCGCGTAGTAAAGATCCCACATTGGAAAGGGGGGGGGGGGGGGGGGGGGGGGGGGGGGGGGGCGGCGCGCATGTGAGTTATAAGGACTTGGACACCCTCCCTTGGCAAGCCGGTTTTTCAAGGAGAGTTCTACTCAAACCCATGAAAGACCCATAGCCCAGCCCAATTGTTCGAGTTATTGGAGTGGGCTCCTATTAGCATGACATGAGAAACAAACTATTCATTACCAGGCTTCGAGTTGCATTTACACATGAAGTAGAAAAATCACAACCCTCTGGCCCTCCCTATAAGTTTGTTTCAAACAATATTTATACCACTGAAAAGTTCTTGCGACTGCTGGTTGGAAATACATTTTGCTGCATACATATATTATGCACAATTCAATCTTAACAAGTTTGTTAACAAATACATGTAAAATATCCTTACCATAGGATGAGTATGAAGACAGGACTATGATGTATGCTGAAGCTCTCTTTATTGAGTACCAAAAGGGAGCTGTACTTTGTGATGCTTTATAAGGGACATGATATCGGTTAGTGTAAGGCTTAAAAGGTTTGGTTTCTCCCTGCACAAAGATACAACCTTTCCGTTGTTAATTTCTTTCACCAGTAACTCTTTGAGAAAATTCCAAGCACATTTACTGTTGACATAGCAAGCAATGAGATGAGAGCTCCCACAAATATATTAAGAGTTGCTTACAATTTCTGGGGCGAAGTCAATTTCGTGATTCCCTGCTGTCCATATCCATGGTTGATAAGCAACACTTCTCTCAACAAACCTTCCCCATGTATCCCATCTAACATTGTCGTGGTTCGGATAGTTATCAGCATAAGAGAGATCCCCAACAAACAATACAGTTTTCCCTTTCAGTGGATTCATCTCATAATGAGTAAGTGTCTTGTTGGAATCAAAACTCTGACCAAGATCCCCTGCAAACCATGCCCAACAGTTTGTCACAAATAAAAGTAATTACAAGACAACTGAGCAAACATTTAAAAGAACATCTACCGAAGAGACTATTAGACCATTCAAAGGGAAAAGCCACTAATTATAACCCACAATGGGTTGGCCGAATGGTAAAAGCTTGGGACCAAGGGGTTTGCTCCCCTTGTGGTCTCAGGTTCGAATCACAAGAACGGTTGTTAACATTGTTGGCCACAAACCGCAAGGCTTGTCCTGTTTCAGAAGCCTTGTTCGGGGTGGAGGACTAGTCAAAATGCGCGTAAGCTGGCCCGGACATAACATGTAGCTATTCTAGCTAAACCACTTTAGATTCTGTGTAACCAGTAATCTTCCCACATTATGTTTATGTTTACAGTTGACTTGAACAAAAACAATTACAGATGTTCAACTAGCTTCTACTTACCAATGAGACCAAATGTATAAGGGACATCAGGGCCAACTTCAGGAGGTGTTATAAACCAGAACTGCCGTTCAGTTTGTCCAATTCCAACCACATAGTAGTATTTAGTGTTGAACTGCCCAAAAGTCATACAAACAAGAAAACAAACAGACCACATAAATAAAATTCTCCCCACCAAATTAATACAAAGATAAAGACTCTGCATATACAGAACAATAGAACATAAGCAATGCAGACAGAATCATTTAAGATAAACTAAAATAAAATGAAATTCACCTGCAAATGTCTGATGGTGCAGTGATGAATGTAACCAGAAGTGTAATTGTAGAATTTATAAGTATAGACCTTGCCCTCAGCCATCTTATTTTTCTTGCTATTTTCACTCCAATAAACCACTGAGTTAGAACCTGGTTCGTCCTGAGTCACCCAAGACACTATCACACCCTTCCCCTCATGATCTCCTTGTGTTATATGAACCTAAATTTTGGACCAGCCGCATGTCAAAATTTATTAAAGATTTAAAACATACCCATTAAATCATTCAAGAAGAAAAGCAAAAACATGAGGAAAAAAAAATCCCATTTCTTCAAAAACTAGATAATCCCAGCAGCAGAAAGAAAAAAGAACCTGTTGAGGAGCATTATAACCAGGAGGGACTTGAAAGACATCGCTATCAAGAGGCATATCAACAGTCTTCTCAACTTTCCTGACAAAACTGCTGGTTTTACCTCCATTACACAACACTGCCACGTTCAAAACCAAGCACAGAAACACAACAAAACGAGAAGAAGACGAAGAAGAAGAAGATCCAAGCACACCCATTTTTGTGTTTATTCTGTCGGCCTAGAATTGAGGTGGGCAGGCAACGAACTCAACACATTGTGGTCGTCTTCTTCCTCCTCTCCTTCACATGTATATATATATAGTAATACTGTATATTTAGAAAGAAATCTTATCGTTTTGCCATCAAACCCGGGGAATATTCAGAGCTAAATACGAATATTTAGATTAGTTTTCAACGGTTTTGAATGCTCACAAGACAAGATTCGTTTTTGCTCAACTTAATTAGTTTATAGTTGACTTTGAGTCACGGCAACGTTGTAATAACAGCGATGGAAATTGGAAAGCGCACTGTTTTGCCTCTTAGTACACAGATTTTTTATACCATGCATGAATTATTGAAAATCTGAGTTAACGATAAAACTGATTCAGATAGGAAGAGATTGGAACTGGGAGAAGTCAAAGAAAGAAGCTTGATATTTTAAATAGATTTCTCTACCCCATAACATCTTTTCAATCAGACAGTTCATTGTTTTCTAAAAGAATAAAATAAAAAATAAAAAATTATTTCCATTCCTTTTCCTGGAGCGTGTGTCCAACAAATGCTTTTCCTGAGAATTTGACAGTAAACGACCCTGGGTGGTAGGTTGGGGCAATAAAAACTCTGATATATTATTTAAAGAGTTAACGACTTTTTCCCACCAAAGTTTGTCTTACCGAATTTTACACTCAAAAATTTCAAAATATTACTTTCTCAATCAATATTTATATTTTCGATAATATCTAAAATATATTTCAATTTTTCAGTTGGCATTTGACAGCTTACCAGAGCTAGAATAAGAGGGTTTTTATAGAATAGACTGACAGATGGTGATCAATTAAATCGAAATCAATCAAAAATCAGTTAAAAATAAGAAATTCTAGCTTTGCAGTGATAGAAAATCGACGAGAAATCAGATGTTAGCATGAGAAGGGTTTTATAGAGAAAAGACCGAAGGTTCAAATGGTGGTAACAGAGAGATTTTTTATTACTGAAATCAGTTTTAGATGGTATCATAATATTAACTTTGGGTGAAAAGGTAGCATTTTGAAACTTATTGGGTGGGAAATGTCATTCAGGCAAACCTTGGGAAGGTAGGAATATCCTATTCATAAAAAAATTGACAGTAAATAAATTCATTCACCTAACAAATGAAATTCAAACAATATATAATAACAACATTTGAATATTAATATAAATGAATTTGATTTTATTATTATTGAAAGTCCAGTTAATATAAGGTCGATTACTACAACATTAATAAAAATAATAATACTTAATTCTATAATGAACCAGAAGATGATAGAGATAGCTTAGCTAAATATGCCATTGAAACCATCAAATTAAAAAATTTTGTCTTTTATGACACAACTAGAAATTTGCACAGATGTTTACAGATAAACCATAGCTAACCAAAGTATTTTACTTATACGTCCTCCTAACATGTCATTTGTCTTTTATGAGCAACTAGAAACTTTTATTATTATTATTTTTTTTTTTTTTTTTGGGTATTTGAGGATATTCGAATTAGTTTGTACGTATCTCAATTAATTCAGAACTTTGAAGTTAACAGTCAGGTAAGCCTATGGTGATTATCTCTTATTAATAATAGTAGAGATTTGAACGTAAAATCTCTTGAATAATATACTCAAGAGTCATAAATGAACCGTCAAACTACCTAAAAGTAATTCTATAAATCTTCATTAGCTTATTTATGGTTGTTGATACAGAATTCTGCACCAATCAGTGTGATTCGATCGACCTTGTCGGGATTAAAATCGATATGTGCGTGATTAGTGAAAATCAGCAATGACTATGAATAAAATAAATTAAAAACAAAGAGATTTTTAAAGTGGTTTGTCGAGGTTAACAGCTTACGTCCACTATGTTTTTGTATTTGCCGTGAGAGATTACAATGCAATTCTTATCTGAAAATCGTAATCCATTCCTCATCATTTGAGTGGATTCTTATACAAGCTTTGTACAAAGCAGCGAAAATTAAGAGGATCACAATTGATCTGAACTGTAATTTCGATATTCTCACGATTGGATACTGTGATTACCCAGTAATCGTTGTTGATCAAGTCATTCTCATAATATCTGGGATCTGAAGTAATCTGGAGATTGATTGAATGATTTCTTGAATTGTCTGTGACTAGCTTATGCTGAGTCGAGCTATATCTCGACGAGCTTATACTATATCGATCAATCACAGTAGTCAAACTCATTATGGGTCGAGCTATATCCTTGAGTTGACCTGAGCTTAGTGGAAAAATCACATACAACAATAATAATTTTATTGAGTCAGTCTAGGTTCATAATTCAAGACCAACGGTCTTCAATTGCCCAGTAACGTTGACGGGAAGGCAAGGTAATAATTTTTGGAATGTGAAAGAGATATCATTTAATAGAAGAAGCCAGGATTTGCAGTGATGATGCAGAATGAGTTGACCAATAGGGAGAGTAGGAGGCAGTGGTGGACCAGATTTACCGGCCATCCATGGCCCATGATTCAAATGCAACAAGTGACAAGAGAAAATAGGCCCGCACCCCACCGTCACGGGTGGCCCATTTGGGAGTATCTTGACTCTTGACTCTTATCACTTCACTTTTTAGTTTTTATCGTCTTTCACTTTCTATAGGCTTTACTTTTCGTTTTGTTTTTTTTTTTTTTTTTAATCATGCATGCAATCTTCTTTCTCAACGAATCTTTATTATTATACTTAATTTCTTAAATGCAATAAAGACCGCTCTTGTTCATGTCCTGCCATTATAGAGATGGCAATGGCCCGGTATTTTCAGGTATTCGACCTGACTCAGTCTAAAAAGATCAGACTTTATCTGATGTTTACAGACTTGAGCTTGAGTTTGGACCTGGTTTTAAGGCCTGACCCTGAGTATGGGTCGGGTCTAGCCTAGGCTGGTCTAACAATTTTAAGTATTGATTATACTTAATTACCCTTATACTATATATTTAATTATAAGATTATCTTACATATATATACTCATCTTTCCCAAATCCTACATGGATGGATCATAGATATGCTTTGTGGAAAGTTATTTATATATTTGGTGAGTATTCAAATATAAATTAATATTTAAAAATTGTTTCAAGAATTAAAAATATAAAAAAATGAAATTTATTAATATTTAAAAATTCACATTATAAAAATAGTCGGGCTTGGGCTTGGGCTTGGGCTTGGGCCAAGGGGTACTGTAACGCTCCACTTGAGGTACGTAGTTAAGATTTGATGTATATTACTTAAATGTTCATTGATTCAGCTTCAATTGAGTTTGTATATTGCCATGGTTGGTTGGTTGCCCTTTAATTGAGATGGTATGTTAAGTGGGTTGAGTGTTTGCCTTGAAATTGGTTGGGAGTTGAGGAATCTTGGAATTACAAACTTCGCCGGAGCGAAGAATAGTCTTCGCCGCAGCGACGTTGGCTTTGTAATTGTGCTGTCGGCTCTGTAAGTTTTCACCGGGGCGACGGAAATTGCTTCGCCGCGGGGAAGGGACGACAGAAAAGTTTAGTTGAGTTTCTAGAGAATTCTCCATATGGGTAAAATGACTATTCTACCCCTAATTAGCAGGAAAAGTGGGAAGTAAATATAAGGAAATTTAGTAGAGAATGTGTTGGAGTTGGGGGTGTGTTTGTAATGAATCAAAGGACAAAGATAAAATTTTTAAGGAAGAGCAAGGGCAAAATGGGAAAGAGTGGTTATAATATGAGCTAAAAGGGATTAAGTGTAGTAAACCCTTCATTTCACCCATTTCCACCGCCATTCTCATTCTCTACTTTCTTCCCACTCTCCATTCAATCTTCCAAGATTTCTAAGGAGGTTTAGGGAGCTTTTGGATAATTTTTAGTAGAGATTTCATCTAAAGCATCCTAAGGTAATAATTTTTGCTTTAGATGTAACTTTGCTTATAGTTGTGTTGAAATCTTATTGTTATTGTTGTTGTTTAAAGTGGTAGAGAAAAGCTAGACCACAAAAAGGGAAGGAGAAGTGTTAGAGAAGCCACTTATTCAAAAGGTAAGTAAATCCAACCCAAGTTGAGATGTAAAAACTCCTTTGAGTAGAGATTTATGTATGATTGAATGAATGAATGTGTATGTATTATGTTTGTTGAGATGAGATGAGATTATTAGATATTGAAAAGTATTGAATAGATTGGAATATGAGAAGTATTGAGATTTTATGATGTTGAGTTGAGTTTTAATTGAAGTTGAAGGAAGTTTTGAGCAAACCTTATAGGAGTGTTTTTCTTTGACATGAGTTTAGAGTGTATGAGGGAGTTTTTCTCCCATTTTTGGATGACTAGAGAGAAGAGAAAAGTTATTGTTAAAATAGAGTTTTGTATGCACATGAGTTGTTTGATGAAATGCTCAAGAGAAGCATGAGTAAGAGAAGAAAGCCTTAATTTGTCTACATGACATAATTGCATTTCATGAGTGCATTAATGAGCATGAGTCATCCATATGCATTAATTGCATTAGAGAAAGAGTAGAGAACTTTGAGTGTGAGCTTCATTAAGAGAAAAGAGAGAAAAAGAGAATAGAGTAGGTTGTGCGATGGGGAACCCGTGAGTAATGGGTAGAGTATTCCCGTATGTACGCCGCAAAGAGAGAGAGCGGCTTGAGTATGAGAGAGAAAAGTGGTGTAGCCCGTGAGAGTACATGCGGATGAGGGCTATACCCGAGAGTACCCGAGAGAGAGTTTATACACTCACTTGGCCAAGGGTTCCGAATCCATGCATAGCGAGTCTGATCGGCTAAAACGAGTAGAAGTCACGGAGAGCGGGAATGAGTCCCGGCCGTGCCTCCGGTAAGATGAGGCCATGACTTATAAAAGAGAGTTAGTAGAAAAGAGTTATGGGAAAGAGAAAATAGATAGAAGTATAAAAGAGAGAGTAAATGAGAATTGTAAGGAAAAAATTAGAGAGAGTTACGAGGATAGATGAGTAGAGGATTTACTTACCGAGCATTGTTTTAGTGCTCACCCCGTTGTTTCCTATGTTTTGCAGGATCTATGTGAGGACACGGTCGAATGGACGTCGGCACGCGAGGGGAAGTGGTTACACTGTCTACCATGTTTTTGATAACTTTTGTACTTGATACAAATTTTGTGTAAAGAATGTATATGTTTAATAAAAGAAAAAATTTGGACCCAACTCTTTTTACTATCTTATATGTATTTTCATTATGTATATTTTTGGGAGTATTTGAGTAGAAAGCAGCTATTACAGGTGCTCGGTCCCGAGCTGGCCCATTGCCATCATTACCTACCAAGAAAAGTCTCATTCCTGAGGATCAAGTTTATGAAGTTTAAACTACCTCTAAATAGTTTGACGGTTTGCTTGAAACTTTTAGATGTATTACTTAAGAGGTTTTGAGTTTGAATCATCACGACTACTA